TTCCAATGTCTGGCAGTGACACTGTAACTGGTGTTCTGGTATCATCTGTGTGACGGATTTGATGGATCCATGGGGATTCAGGGATAGAAGGTGTACCCAGTATCCATGCTTGACCTGACAGTCAGCTGTCTCATGGGGATTCAGGGATAGAAGGTGTACCCAGTATCCATGCTTGACCTGACAGTCAGCTGTCTCATGGAGATTCAGGGATAGGAGAGGTCCCCAGTATCCATGCTTGACCTGACAGTCAGCTGTCTCATGGGGATTCAGGGATAGGAGAGGTCCCCAGTATCCATGCTTGACCTGACAGTCAGCTGTCTCATGGGGATTCAGGGATAGGAGAGGCCCCCAGTATTCATGCTTGACCTGACAGTCAGCTGTCTCATGGAGATTCAGGGATAGGAGAGATCCCCAGTATTCATGCTTGACCTGACAGTCAGCTGTCTCATGGAGATTCAGGGATAGGAGAGGTCCCCAGTATCCATGCTTGACCTGACAGTCAGCTGTCTCATGGAGATTCATGGATAGGAGAGGTCCCCAGTGTCCATGCTTGACCTGACAGTCAGCTGTCTCATGGGGATTCAGGGATAGGAGAGGTCCCCAGTATCACTGCTTGACCTGACAGTCAGCTGTCTCATGGGGATTCAGGGATAAGAGAGGACCCCAGTATCCATGCTTGACCTGACAGTCAGCTGTCATTCATCAGCTTCAATCAATACCCTTTAATCATAGTAATGGCACGAAAACCATAATAACTGGAGACTGAGGATATTATTTAATGCCCATGACCATATCTCCAAGCAACTAGCTATTATAACCCTGACTATTTATTGGCATGTTGAATATCTGAATTGCTTAACCCTTGCAGGCTGTGGACCCAGTTAACCCCTTCTGGGTGGAGAAGATGGGTCACCTTAGAAGTCTTTATATTCTGTAAACTCAAATCAATATTTTTCTCTTATGCAGCCTGTGTGCTTCCACAGAGGGGTTAATAGCAATCCGAAGTGTTCACAAGGAGAAATTGCTGCCTCAGCAAACATTTTATGTGAATCTGTAGATTAAAAAGAACTCTGTGGAGTGATCGCAGCATAAAGGAAGAGACTGAAACTGTATGTGGCATTGACTGTGGAAATGTATCGGTCGCGGAGTGTTCTGCCTCCATATAGGGTGGCAAAGACAGAGGACGAGAGGAATGATTTAATTTAGAAAATGTTGGGAGAACATGTGAGATGTTGTTTAGTGTAATGGAGAAATGTGTCTGATTGCGATGATTTGAAATTGGCTTGATTCTAGCCTGTCAGTTGACATGTTAGCTGTGTCTTCTTCCAATGTCTGGCAGTGACACTGTAACTTGTGTTCTGGTATCATCTGTGTGACGGATTTGATGGATCCATGGGGATTCAGGGATAGAAGGTGTACCCAGTATCCATGCTTGACCTGACAGTCAGCTGTCTCATGGGGATTCAGGGATAGAAGGTGTACCCAGTATCCATGCTTGACCTGACAGTCAGCTGTCTCATGGAGATTCATGGATAGGAGAGGTCCCCAGTGTCCATGCTTGACCTGACAGTCAGCTGTCTCATGGGGATTCAGGGATAGGAGAGGTCCCCAGTATCACTGCTTGACCTGACAGTCAGCTGTCTCATGGGGATTCAGGGATAAGAGAGGACCCCAGTATCCATGCTTGACCTGACAGTCAGCTGTCATTCATCAGCTTCAATCAATACCCTTTAATCATAGTAATGGCACGAAAACCATAATAACTGGAGACTGAGGATATTATTTAATGCCCATGACCATATCTCCAAGCAACTAGCTATTATAACCCTGACTATTTATTGGCATGTTGAATATCTGAATTGCTTAACCCTTGCAGGCTGTGGACCCAGTTAACCCCTTCTGGGTGGAGAAGATGGGTCACCTTAGAAGTCTTTATATTCTGTAAACTCAAATCAATATTTTTCTCTTATGCAGCCTGTGTGCTTCCACAGAGGGGTTAATAGCAATCCGAAGTGTTCACAAGGAGAAATTGCTGCCTCAGCAAACATTTTATGTGAATCTGTAGATTAAAAAGAACTCTGTGGAGTGATCGCAGCATAAAGGAAGAGACTGAAACTGTATGTGGCATTGACTGTGGAAATGTATCGGTCGCGGAGTGTTCTGCCTCCATATAGGGTGGCAAAGACAGAGGACGAGAGGAATGATTTAATTTAGAAAATGTTGGGAGAACATGTGAGATGTTGTTTAGTGTAATGGAGAAATGTGTCTGATTGCGATGATTTGAAATTGGCTTGATTCTAGCCTGTCAGTTGACATGTTAGCTGTGTCTTCTTCCAATGTCTGGCAGTGACACTGTAACTTGTGTTCTGGTATCATCTGTGTGACGGATTTGATGGATCCATGGGGATTCAGGGATAGAAGGTGTACCCAGTATCCATGCTTGACCTGACAGTCAGCTGTCTCATGGGGATTCAGGGATAGAAGGTGTACCCAGTATCCATGCTTGACCTGACAGTCAGCTGTCTCATGGAGATTCAGGGATAGGAGAGGTCCCCAGTATCCATGCTTGACCTGACAGTCAGCTGTCTCATGGAGATTCAGGGATAGGAGAGGCCCCCAGTATCACTGCTTGACCTGACAGTCAGCTGTCTCATGGAGATTCAGGGATAGGAGAGGTCCCCAGTATCCATGCTTGACCTGACAGTCAGCTGTCTCATGGAGATTCAGGGATAGGAGAGGTCCCTAGTATCCATGCTTGACCTGACAGTCAGCTGTCTCATGGGGATTCAGGGATAGAAGGTGTACCCAGTATCACTGCTTGACCTGACAGTCAGCTGTCTCATGGAGATTCAGGGATAGGAGAGGTCCCCAGTATCCATGCTTGACCTGACAGTCAGCTGTCTCATGGGGATTCAGGGATAGGAGAGGTCCCCAGTATCCATGCTTGACCTGACAGTCAGCTGTCTCATGGGGATTCAGGGATAGGAGAGGCCCCCAGTATTCATGCTCGACCTGACAGTCAGCTGTCTCATGGAGATTCAGGGATAGGAGAGATCCCCAGTATCCATGCTTGACCTGACAGTCAGCTGTCTCATGGAGATTCAGGGATAGGAGAGATCCCCAGTATTCATGCTTGACCTGACAGTCAGCTGTCTCATGGAGATTCAGGGATAGGAGAGGTCCCCAGTATCCATGCTTGACCTGACAGTCAGCTGTCTCATGGGGATTCAGGGATAGGAGAGGCCCCCAGTATCACTGCTTGACCTGACAGTCAGCTGGCTCATGGGGATTCAGGGATAGGAGAGGTCCCCAGTATCCATGCTTGACCTGACAGTCAGCTGTCTCATGGGGATTCAGGGATAGGAGAGGCCCCCAGTATCCATGCTTGACCTGACAGTCAGCTGTCTCATGGGGATTCAGGGATAGGAGAGGCCCCCAGTATCCATGCTTGACCTGACAGTCAGCTGTCTCATGGGGATTCAGGGATAGGAGAGGCCCCCAGTATCCATGCTTGACCTGACAGTCAGCTGTCTCATGGGGATTCAGGGATAGGAGAGGCCCCCAGTATCACTGCTTGACCTGACAGTCAGCTGGCTCATGGGGATTCAGGGATAGGAGAGGTCCCCAGTATCCATGCTTGACCTGACAGTCAGCTGTCTCATGGGGATTCAGGGATAGGAGAGGCCCCCAGTATCCATGCTTGACCTGACAGTTTGACGCATCATATTGAGTCGACAACATCGTCAACGACGACTGCATTGCTGTCGTCAACACAGGGTATGGCCTCAAGTGCGATGGAGAGATGTCTGGTTCAGCGATGAATCAAGATATCTCTTCCTTCGGGGGGATGGAAGAGCACGAGTCTACAGACGTCAGGGAGAACGTTATGCCAGAAACTGTGTAAGGAAGTGGACAGGTTTGGTGGGGGTAGCGTTATGATGTGGGCGGCTATCTCTCATCATGGCCTGACAGGTTTGGTCCATATCCAGGGCAATCATACGGCTCAATGATACATCAACGAAATTCTACCACACGTCCTCCCAATTGCAGCCAATGGCAACGGTGTATTCCAGCAGGACAATGCTCGGCCACATACAGCACAGATCACAAGAGCCTTTCTACACAACAACAACAATGGTGTTCTCCCCTGGCCCTCCAGATCCCCGGATTTGAACTCGATAGAGCACCTATGGGTTGAATTGGATAGACGTCTACGCCAACGTCAACCACAACTCCAGATGTTGCAGCAGTTGGCTTTTGCGTTGCAGGTCGAGTGGAATACCCTTCCCCAGGATGTGATTCACATACTCGTCTCTTCCATGGGCAGGAGATGTCAGGCTGCTATCGATTCCAACGGGGGACATATGCATTATTGATGGTAGCTGACCTTCACCTTGGACTTTTCCTATGTACTGATAACTGAGATAACTACAATCACTAAGTGTTCTCTTCAATCACCAAGTGTATTTTGGCTCAATACCTTGTACGGTTCCTCGTATAAATGTATTTTCCTACCTCACACAAATCTGGCTTTGGGTTTCTTTTCTTTTTTAGAGCATATATTACTCCGTCTCTCTAGGGAAATACAAGATTTCTGACACTCATTTCGTAAAACCAGTATGACACACGTGCTCGTATAATAATCTCACCTATGAAGATCCTGGGTAAAATGGGTCTTAAGCTTGCTGTAAAAGGCGACTATGCTTGTCTTGAGAGGCGACTAATGGGGTCGGGTGGTCAGGCTCGCTGACTTAGTTGATGCATGTCATCATATCTCAATTGCATGGATCGATGCTCATGATGTCAATCACTGGATTGTCTGGTCGTCTAGTATCGATTATTTGCAGACGGCCGTCATAAAGCTGGAATATTGCTGAGTGCAGTGTTAACACACTAACAAACAAAACTGTATCTACACGTTGGTCTTTACATGCAGTTGGATGTTCAGAATGGAAATGCATGGAGACAAATGTCCACTGAGAGTGTTTGTATTGTTTCAGGAAGTGCAACATCCCGGGGCAGTACCAGGTCCAACACTCTCAGCCCTAATGGTGAGTTTGCTCTTCACAAGCCCATCTTTGTATCAGCTGTTGGATGGATTTATGTCTGGAGGGAAGACTCAGATGGAATATTAAGCTTAACATGCTTTTAGAAAAACTATTACTGTAGCTACATGACAGCTTAGCTGTTTTAGATTTATCTTCATTCTGAAGATGACTCAATCTTCGGCAGGGCTTTTACGCATTCCCAGTTGTCTAAGGCACACCTTGAGCAGGCATACTGTGATATAACTGAAATACTGTTCAAATCATACTCACTCACTTTTTCGAATTTAGTTTTTGTACCCTGTGAAACAAGTTGGCATATTTCAGGAGAATGTGAGTATATTTACAGTTCATCCACAGTAGTCTGCTCCATGTTCCTTGAGGCAACTGGACGACTCTGAGATTTGATCGCCTGAGTCTAGGTTACCTGGTCATTATTTGGGTGAATAGGGAAGAACTTTGGCTGTATTGGCTGTATTAGCGAGTGAGTGAGTCGGGATTGTATGCCACTTTCAACAGTATTCCAGTTATATTGTGGTATGTCAGCTTGATGTGGGAGGAAAGCCCGAAATGATACAGGTCTCAGGTGTTTATCTCCTAGGTGGAAATCACGGGTTGACAAACCTAGAAACAATTGGGGTGAACCAGGATTTAATCCCAAGTTCATTGGTTTCTAGTGTGCCCAAGGGACACAACTCTGCATGCGAATTGTGGCACCTGAGATGACTGGGCCACCTGTGTCCCTCATCATTGTTCATTCTCACCGGGTTGGAAAATGGTGAAGACGGTGGATGATATGCGGTACTATTAGGACAACTTTCTATGTTGATGAAGCGTAATGTGTTTAAAGTAACTGGCATATTGTCGGCACTTAAAATTGCCAGAAAGCATGAGGTCATTGACCTCGAAAAAAATGGCCCTCTGTTTCGATTATATTTCTGAAACCTTGCCATTAACAAACCTTTCACCGTTAGTGGGGCACTTATCCAAAAGTAGTCATGACAGACTGCAGCTCTAGGCGTGAATGGCTGGAAAGTTGTGGCTCCTGCTACATATGGCTTCCATGTGTATTGAGTGATGTGAAAAATCAGTATTTTTTCAGTATGGAATACTAGATTTAATGAAAATTTGGATGACTCTTTTCCTCCTGGCATATTTACCACGGTGATTGTGTAATACAACGTTAATGCTTATGTCACATGTCCTTGTTGGTGCGGTACAAGTTGGATGTTTTTAACGGTTCCGAACAGTATGTTCTCCTAACACATGAATCATCTGTAAACGAGGTGGGCCTCTGTCCATACATGGATGTTATTGTACTGTACTAGCACCGTGGCCATACGTCTTCTATGTGCAACAGGCCCTGACCTAGGCGGTGGGCCTCTGTCCATACATGGATCTTATTGTACTGTACTAGCACCATGGCCATACGTCTTCTATGTGCAACAGGCCCTGGCCTAGGCAGTGGGCCTCTGTCCATACATGGATGTTATTGTACTGTACTAGCACCATGGCCATACGTCTTCTATGTGCAACAGGCCCTGGCCTAGGCCCCCGTGAAACATGCGATCATTGGACAGCGTCTATAGTAACTCTTGTACTAAAGCATAGACCTACGATAGTCACGGCACCAAGAGCCAATGGCCCCCCATGAACAAGGAAACCATAACTTCAATGCTTTGAAACAGATTTAGAACAATCGTAGCTCTAATATTGCTTAATGCAGGACCTTCAACCAATGCTCAAAGAAATTGTAACTTCAATACATTGATACAGATTTAGAACAATTGTAGCTCTAATATTGCTTAATGCAGGACCTTCAACCAATGCTCAAAGAAATTGTAACTTCAATACATTGATACAGATTTACAGCAGTCTTAGCTCTAACATTACTCTATGCTGGGCCTTCAACCAAGAGTGATCTTATTTAAAAATCCAACCATATTCATCTCCAGTAATTGCCTCATCTAATGACCTAACTAGTCATCAGCCTTTGATGCTGGGTAATTTGAGTTACCAGACAAAAACTAAATTGTAATCATTATATAGAGAGCTGAGTATCCAACCAATTTGACTTCATCACCCAGGGATGCCTGCAGCAGTACAGATGTGCCAGATTACAAATGTAGCAAGTTGTCCTTCCATCCATTGTAAGACAATAACTGTCTCTGATCATCTCTGCCAGCTAGCATTTGGTCAGTCATTCGTGCTCACTGACGCATGTGACAATACAATGACTGGCCATCTTGATGGAGGAGGTCCACTGTCAGTGTTATTTTTGGTATTGAGCTGTCCTTGCATAAATTGTAAAACTTAACTGTGTGAGGTCTATGCTGTGGCTGGTGTAGTGCCTGTGTTGCTATGCTGTGGTTGGTGTAGTGCCTGTGTTGCTATGCTGTGGCTGGTGTAGTGCCTGTGTTGCTATGCTGTGGCTGGTGTAGTGCCTGTGTTGCTATGCTGTGGTTGGTGTAGTGCCTGTGTTGCTATGCTGTGGTTGGTGTAGTGCCTGTGTTGCTATGCTGTGGCTGGTGTAGTGCCTGTGTTGCTATGCTGTGGCTGGTGTAGTGCCTGTGTTGCTATGCTGTGGCTGGTGTAGAGCCTGTGTTGCTATGCTGTGGTTGGTGTAGTGCCTGTGTTGCTATGCTATGGCTGGTGTAGTGCCTGTGTTGCTATGCTGTGGTTGGTGTAGTGCCTGTGTTGCTATACTGTGGCTGGTGTAGTGCCTGTGTTGCTATGCTGTGGCTGGTGTAGTGCCTGTGTTGCTATGCTGTGGCTGGTGTAGTGCCTGTATTGCTATGCTGTGGCTGTTGTAGAGCCTGTGTTGCTATGCTGTGGCTGGTGTAGTGCCCGTGTTGCTATGCTATGGCTGGTGTAGTGCCTGTGTTGCTATGCTGTGGCTGGTGCAGTGCCTGTGTTGCTATGCTGTGGTTGGTGTAGTGCCTGTGTTGCTATGCTGTTGATGGTGTAGTGCCCGTGTTGCTATGCTGTGGCTGGGGTAGTGCCCATGTTCATATGCTGTGGATGGTGTACTGCCTGTGTTGCTATGCTGTGGCTGGTGTAGTGCCTGTGTTGCTATGCTATGGCTGGTGTAGTGCCTGTGTTGCTATGCTGTGGTTGGTGTAGTGCCTGTGTTGCTATACTGTGGCTGGTGTAGTGCCTGTGTTGCTATGCTGTTGATGGTGTAGTGCCTGTGTTGCTATGCTGTGGCTGGGGTAGTGCCCATGTTCATATGCTGTGGATGGTGTACTGCCTGTGTTGCTATGCTGTGGCTGGTGTAGTGCCTGTGTTGCTATGCTGTGGCTGGTGTAGAGCCTGTGTTGCTATGCTGTGGCTGGTGTAGTGCCTGTGTTGCTATGCTGTGGTTGGTGTAGTGCCTGTGTTGCTATGCTGTTGATGGTGTAGTGCCTGTGTTGCTATGCTGTGGCTGGGGTAGTGCCCATGTTCATATGCTGTGGATGGTGTACTGCCTGTGTTGCTATGCTGTGGCTGGTGTAGTGCCTGTGTTGCTATGCTGTGGCTGGTGTAGAGCCTGTGTTGCTATGCTGTGGCTGGTGTAGTGCCTGTGTTGCTATGCTGTGGTTGGTGTAGAGCCTGTGTTGCTATGCTGTGGATGGTGTAGTGCCTGTGTTGCTATGCTGTGGCTGGGGTAGTGCCCATGTTGCTATGCTATGCTGTGTAGTGAATGTGTCTCGGCAGATGCCTGCTATGCTGTGGCTTGTGTTGTGCCTATGTGGATCAATCAATGGAGGGTGTGTGCTGGTGATAAGTCTCTCTCACAGCCTTCGCTAATTAAATCTACTTGCCGAGTTGAGTTGGTTGCTAGATGAAAGAAAACTGCATGTACACCCATTTCTAAGTTTTTGATTTGAGCTTGAATATTGATGAGAGCTCCCCATGGGATTTGATGCCATATTTAATCTGCTTTCTTTACCAGTACAATCAAGGTAGGCAGTCAGTCCACTACCTGCACTTTGGCATTAGGCACATAATAAAAAGTCAGTCTGGTGCTTTGATCTCACAGGCAGCATGATAAAAACTTTGATCTTATCGAAATTGTAAGCAAATGAGAAGACTTGTTTGCAGATGAAATACTTTTTTTCACCTGATCTTCTGGTTTCATCAGAATATTCCATTTGTACTGTATCCTGATGGATCGGCATCAGTTGAAGCTTAACTTGTGTTTTGCCTTTTAAGATCACAAGATAAGGGGCATCTGAGCAATATTTGAAAAGTACATCAAGGAGAAAGGCATAATTCCAGATGTATATGTTATTATGATTGTGTTCTGTTTCAGGATCCATTAACCCATTAAACCTCAAGCCACCATCAGGACCTCAGCCCCCAAGGTGAGTCAAGCCATGCAGGACACGACACCATGGTGACCGCAGTTAGAATAGTACTCCCTGGGTTAGAATAGGTCCTGGGGTTAGAATAGTACTCCCTGGGTTAGAATAGTACTCCCTGGGTTAGAATAGGTCCTGGGGTTAGAATAGTACTCCCTGGGTTAGACTAGTACTCCCTGGGTTAGAATAGTACTCCCTGGGTTAGAATAGGTCCTGGGGTTAGAATAGTACTCCCTGGGTTAGAATAGTACTCCCTGGGTTAGAATAGGTCCTGGGGTTAGAATAGTACTCCCTGGGTTAGAATAGTACTCCCCGGGTTAGAAAAGTACTCCCTGGGTTAGAATAGGTCAAGGGTTAGAATAGGTCCCTGAGTTAAAATAGGTCCCTGGGTTAGAATAGTACTCCCTGGGTTAGAATAGGTCCTGGGGTTAGAATAGTACTCCCTGGGTTAGAATAGGTCCTGGGGTTAGAATAGTATTCCCTGGGTTAGAATAGGTCCTGGGGTTAGAATAGTACTCCCCGGGTTAGAATAGGTCCTGTGGTTAGAATAGTACTCCCTGGGTTAGAATAGTACTCCCCGGGTTAGAATAGGTCCCCGGTTTAGAATAGTACTCCCTGGGTTAGAATAGGTCCCCAGTTTAGAATAGTACTCCCCGGGTTAGAATAGTACTCCCCGGGTTAGAATAGGTCCCTGGTTTGGAATGGTACTCCCCGGGTTAGAATAGGTTCCCGGTTTAGAATAGTACTCGCCGGGTTAGAATAGGTCCCCGGGTTAGAATAATACTCCCTGGGTTAGAATAGGTCCCCGGTTTAGAATAGTACTCCCTGGGTTAGAATAGGTCCCCGGGTTAGAATAGTACTCCCCGGGTTAGAATAGGTCCTCGGTTTAGAATAGTACTCCCTTGGTTAGAATAGTACTCCCCGGGTTAGAATAGGTCCCCGGTTTAGAATAGTAGCCTGCAACCTCGGGGTATCGCGGTACTTGTCATGTACGCTAAACGGAACAAAATGCACTCACTAACCTTTATGATTTTTCGTGTTCTCTGTATCAGATATCATTCATGTTATCAAACAATGCATATTTTACTGATAAAAGTTCATTATTTACATCAGTAGCTCCGAGTAAAAGCCGGGCCTCGCGCTCTGTTTGACAAGGGAGAGAACTCCATCGTATCGCGGTACAGAGAAAAGTTGTGTATGGAGGTCCAAATTGGGCAAAAACAGGACATAATCCTACCAACCACTTGGTATGATCATGCCAGACATCAGTGATTTGTCCATACAAGTGCAAAGACAGCACAAGTAAAATATTTTTATAAGTCAACTTCAAAATATCAGAAATGATATTTTAAGATTGTTTAAAAAAAATTGGATGACAACAATTTGTCACAAAATGGAAAAATGTTTAAAGTCAACAATAATTATATAAAAAGCACTCCTAGTATGCCCAAAGTATGTATTTATCTTTTGGTTACTAGTGAAGAACGTATTTCTAAGTTTGGCATTATGGCCGTTATGATCTCCCAATAGATTCTGGGCACAGAGCGGGGAAAAAATGTGCGAACTACGTAACTTCCGTTACCTCATTAGTCGCCATGAATATGCAGATGAACTAGTTCAGGTCGATAGAGAAAGTTTACTTGGGGAACTGCGGGTTATATCGTTGGCCATTGATGGATGGGGGTAAGGCAATATTACAACAGATGCCAGAAATATGTATCAACGGATTAATAACTCCTTACTTAAAGCAGACGGAACATTCCGAGGAAATTGAAATTGTTTACGAAGTGAGCACTTCCTGGTTACTGATTTGCATTAATAGACAGTCGCTAAGAGACGTGTCCCACGTGAACTATCGGAAATCACAAATGCTGCGATACGATGAATGCCGCGGTACCATGGGGTCCGAGTATTCTCCCTGGGTTAGAATAGGTCCCCGGTTTAGAATAGTACTCCCTGGGTTAGAATAGTACTCTCCGGGTTAGAATAGGTCCCCGGGTTAGAATAGTACTTCCCGGGTTAGAATAGGTCCCCGGTTTAGAATAGTACTCCCTGGGTTAGAATAGGTCCCCGGTTTAGAATAGTACTCCCTGGGTTAGAATAGGTCCTTGGGTTAGAATAGTACTTCCTGGTTTAAAATAGTACTCCCCGGGTTAGATAAAATAGTACTCCCCGGGTTAGAATAGGGCCCCGGTTTAGAATAGTACTCCCCGGGTTAGAATGGTACTCCTTGGGTTAGAATAGGTCCCCTGTTTAGAATAGTACTCCCTGGGTTAGAATAGGTCCCCAGGTTAGAATAGTACTCCCCGGGTTAGAATAGATCCCCGGTTTAGAATAGTACTCCCTTGGTTAGAATAGTACTCCCTGGGTTAGAATAGGTCCCCGGTTTAGAATAGTACTCCCTGGTTTGGAATGGTACTCCCCGGGTTAGAATAGGTCCCCGGTTTAGAATAGTACTCCTCGGGTTAGAATAGGTCCCCGGGTTAGAATAGTACTCCCCGGGTTAGAATAGGTCCCCGGTTTAGAATAGTACTCCCCGGTTTATAATAGTACTCCCCGGGTTAGAATAGGTCCCCTGTTTAGAATGGTACTCCCCGGGTTAGAATAGGTCCCCGGTTTAGAATAGTACTCCCTGGGTTAGAATAGTACTCCCTGGGTTAGAATAGGTCCCCAGTTTAGAATAGTACTCCCTCGGTTAGAATAGGCCCCAAGTTTAGAATAGTACTCCCTGGGTTAGAATATTCAATTCTTTCAGTAATATTTAACAAATTGGCATCAAAAATTAAATAAAGTTCAGGCTTTTTAGCATGAGATAATAGAACATGACATTGTCGTGTCATTGCATGGGTTTGAATCTCATTCAATGTGTTTGGAGATGGACTTGAGCACAAAGACACATCTTTTATGATTTCGAGTTAAAGTTGATGAAGCATTTTCAAAGTGTTTCAGTCTATTTTGCATTAACCATGGCAATAGCAGCATGCCTTGGAACCTTGGTATCAATCTTTTGCACCTTTGGTTGCACTGAATCTGGTGATTAATTGGAATGAACAAGTGGTGAAAAATCAATGCCAGATCTTATGACTGTTTCTTTGGCTGGAAACTGAAACCAGCGTTGATGGAATCAATGAAAAGGAACACTACTAATTGATTGCATATGTGGATTTAGAGTGTGTGCATGCAAATACATTCTTTTTAGAGTTTTGATAACATGTTTGATGTTCTGTTTATTAATGGAGACCGCCTCCTTGGTTTAGTGGATAGAGTGTCTGCCTAGAAAGCATAAGTTCGTGGGTTCGATCCCTGGCCACGTCATACCAAAAGATGGTACTTGTTGTTACCCTGCCTGGTGCTCAGCACTAAGGGGACAAGACAAGGACTGTTGGCTTGGAGTTGGGTATCCATGTTAGAACTGCGGTATGGCGTCCCACTGGGCTAGCACTACAAAATCGACAGTAGTCCAGACACAGACAGACAGACAGTTACACTCGCACGCACGCACACACACATGCATGCACGTTGCGATATAAGTGCAGTAATCTTTAACGCGACGATGAACGCCATTTCACCTCACCACAGCAATTAATTAATGGCCAAGTAATTGGTGTACATCCTTCGACCACCACACTCTTTAGGAACAAATAGATGTACCTTCCCCCTTCAGCAAGAGGTGCTGTCTTTACTTGGTTATCCGATTATCCAATGCAGCTAGCATCTCAGTACTACGACTGTTGTAAGTCTGTGGAGAACTAGGGGAGGTGGGACTGTCACAAACATTTTCGTTGAGCCCAAGGTCACACCCAGGTCTTAGTTCCATCATGCAGATTTAGTGCTATGGTTGTCACAAGCAGTTCACTTCAGGAGACTGTTGGACACCTTTACCTAAGAAGGCCTGCTTTGTAGAGTTAGGTCCACAACATGCCATTTGACAGAATACAGAAGGCCCTAATGCTTGGTCCTACTTCTGTGAGGTGAAATTGGGTTTAATGTCGCGTCCAAGATTATTGCACTTATATAGCGACGTGCATGTACGTGTATGTGTTTGTGTGGATGCTTGTACTAGTCTGGACTGATGCCGATTTATAGTGCTAGCTCACTGAGATACCATGCCGCAGTTTAACATGAATACCCCACTCTAACACAGTATACTGACTCCGAGCCGACCAGTCCTTGTTTTAGCCCCTTAATGCCGAGCGCCAGACAGGGTAACAACAAGTACCATCTTTTAACGTCTGTTGGTATGACTTTCCATCAGTTCTAGTGAAGACTGAATCATTCTTGAATTGTAGCATGAAGCCATTCTGTCTGTAGAATGAAGCACATTCAATTAGCTCTTAGGGTGCCTAGTGGCCCAAGATACCTGCAAGGCCCACAAAGTGATATTTATTGGAAAACCCAATTTCTCTAAGGCCTACATTACAACATCTGCAAAACATGATGTATAAATGAGTTAGAATAATTCTATAAAAATAAAAAAAATATATAAAAATAAAATGCTGTTAAAAGTGGAATTATGAATCACAATTCACAATCTCTCTCAGAACCTTATCAAGGCGGTGATGTTGAAAACTTTGAATGAAAAAATAACTGCAGATGCAGTTCTCTGGAAAAGCCAATCTTAGAAAGCCACTGATACTTCTGAAGCCATAACCAACACTTGCTATTGCAAGCGAAATGGTCACTTTGATTAGAAATATCATCATTTTCCCATAAACTCCCAATATTTACATTTTCAATGAATGTGTTAACCTTCTATGTGAGGTGATGTTGCCATGGGCGAACAAGCTGGCGCGAGACTGACCTCCACATGTTGTACCAATGACTTGCAATCAGGGTAATTCTTCCGCTTGTATGCAGATGGCTTATTAGGAGACTCTTCATTTAACAGAAAAGACACAGAACATTCTGAAGCGTAAATAGCATGCCATCGCCATCTGTGTTTTAGGATGGAGTAGAACTCGACATCTGTGACGTTCAGTTTGAATCAAAATCTGCTTTTTCTTAATCACCATGGCAAAAATTGTTTTTTCGTAGTCTTGGGATTGTATTGATCTTTGTCTAAAACTATTGGACGATGTATTGAGTGGCTGTTTGATATTTGTAGAAGCATGACATGGATAGTGTAGATACGTGATCTGGTCAAGCTGGGTTTCCTGTTCTATTGGGGGGATTGTTTGGGTGGAGAGCAGCATCCAATCAATGCTAATAGGACCGTATGGCTTTGTTTGTCACAAGTACACACCGCTCGTGTAGGATTTCGATTCTTCTTGGGGTAATTCAGGATTTGGGATTTAAGACGATTATTGTTGTTTGAGTTAGTTGATCAGAGGATGGTTTGGAAGAGATGGATGCGATATATTGTTAATGCAGTATCTTGCCTACAGACTGCCTCCTAGGATTACTGAAAACATCGTTTACAAGCGCTTCTGATTGGTATTTCATCATTTGGTAAAATACCAAGCAGCCCACGCCTAATTCCCCATACTCTTTTTTACCTTGTGTAAATGTACATCCCCATCTTTGGAGTTTTTGGGGGAAAATAGCTTCTACGTTAAATGCCGTTATGGGGGGTTGTTGAATATTGATTTTAAAACCTCTGTCAGGGAATTATCAGGACCTGCCCAAAGGCCGATGTCTCAGGAATTTTCAGAAAACAATCCCAGATGGGAATTAAAACTTTCCCAATTCATGTTGTAAATAGTAATGTGATGGCTTAGTTGAGGTATTTTACTGATAAAGGACCATCAACGAGGAAAAGCTTTGAGCGTCTATTTTTACATTAATGCATTGAATTCAAGGTTATAATGCAATATTCATATGCCCTTTAATACAAACTTCAAAAAATCCCATTTCTAAACAAGATTTTCCCAATTTGCATGCTAAGGGCAGTTAGTTTAGATTCCTAGATACATCCCTACCTGATTAACAATTCACAATCAATATTGTTTTCCAAAGCCAATGGGGGCGGTCGGTTAGCCTAGTAGTTAAAGCGTTCGCTCATCACACCAAAGACCTTGGTTCGATTCCCAACATGTGTACATTGTGTGAAGCCTATTTCTTGTGTCCCCCGGCCATGATATTGCTGGAATATTGCTTAAAACCATACTCACTCACTCACACAGTCCAAAGCCAATGTGTATAAAATTGCTTAATGCTGTATTATTAATGTGTGCAGCAAAGCAGCTATTTGAATAAGGGGAATGTTACTGTGATTTATAACCTCTGATTGACCAATCACAATCAAGACTTAGTCATTTACAAAGTCATGATACAATCATGCTTAATGCTTCATCAGCAGTTTGAGCAGGTGTTTCTGGCTGTCGAGACTGAACGTTATTGTGCGTGGTGTTTTAGGAAGGAAGCTTCAAGTTGTGTGATGTAGATGATGCTGGCAGCTCCCCCTGAAAACCATCAATTCCCTATGTCCCCTGGTTAGAGCCAGTATTGATTTTTGAGGTAACAATGAAGTGGTTATCCTGTCACTGATGGGACATTTCGTCTCACATTTTCCCTAAGACAAAAAAAAAAAAAGATTTTTCTTTTGTCAGACTTGAATCTCTTTCTAGTCCAAATTGTCCATTCTCTTCATGAACCATAGATTCGTTTTAGGGAAAAAAGTTTGATATTTCTTGTCAAGTGACATGTTGAAATAGCACTTCCTCCTGTGCAGAAAGTCCATTTATAGATAAATTGCGATAGAAACTCTGTGACAGATGATGTGCCAGCGCCATCGCTTATTTTGGTAAATATGTATTTTTATAACTGGTGCTGTAAGGCTCTGTGAATATGAGGCATTGATGTAATGGAGTAAAAGGGACGGTGATAGGGAGGGGATGCATGCGGTGTTGACACAGTCCATGCCAAAATCTTTAGAGTCTATGAGCCCAAACAAGGCTCTTACCATCATTTTCATTAGATTTTAGTGTTTGAAGATTAGCTATTAGCTGAGCTTACTAGACCAAACCGAATTGTACTAGTCTCAGGCTTTGGACCAGTGGCACACTGGTTTAACAGTAGGAATTGAAGCAATGTACAGATGGCCTTTGGCAAGATTTATTTGAAAATCTAATTCTAAGTTGATGGCTTCTTGTGCAGGTTTATTGGCAAAATATATTTCCATCTCTGGCATTTGCCTGCTACAAATATAAAGCCATTTATTGTATTGAGTATACAGCTGAGTTTGTTATTTGCAGACATGACTGGTTCCAGAATGCCAAGTCTGTAACCATTGTTGTCTACACAAAATGGCTGGCCATGAAAGATGAATTTGTCACCATCGACTTAAATGACAGGAAGCTTAAAATCAACATATTCCTTGAAACTCACACCTATCAGATGCATATAGGTAAGTCGGAGCACTCATTTATATTTGTGGGTAGCCCAGAAACATAATCTATGGTGCTAAGTGTCACAGTGCAGAGCTTCACCTTAGTTATATGCTAGTCCCTGTGGGGATTCCAGGTTAGAAATGGCTAGCAACATTTAAGCCAGTCTTACAAGGTAACTAAGAGGATCGGGTGTCTAGACTCAGTGACTGAGGGGATTGGGTGTCTTGACTCAGTGACTGAGGGGATCGGGGTGTCTAGACTCAGTGACTTTTGGGATCGGGTGTCTGGACTCAGTGACTGAGGGGATTGGGTGTCTAGACTCAGTGACTGTGGGGATCAGGTGTCTAGCACAGTGACTGAGTGGATCGGGTGTCTAGACTCAGTGACTGAGGGAATCGGGTGTCTAAACTCAGTGACTAACAGGATCAGGTGTCTAGACTCAGTGACTGAGGGAATCGGGTGTCTAGACTCAGTGACTGAGGGGATCGGGTGTCTAGACTCAGTGACTGAGGGGATCAGGTGTCTAGACTCAGTGACTGAAGGGAATCGGGTGTCTAGACTCAGTGACTGAGGGGATCGGGTGTCTTGACTCATTAAATGAGGGGATCGGGTGTCTAGACTCAGTGACAGAGAGGATCAGGTGTCTAGACTCAGTGACTGAGGGGATCGGGTGTCTAGACTCAGTGACTGAGGGGATCGGGTGTCTAGACTCAGTGACTGTGGGGATCGGGTGTCTAGACTCAGTGACTGTGGGTATCGGGTGTCTAGACTCAGTGACTGAGGGAATAGGGTGTCTAGACTCAGTGACTGAGTGGATCGGGTGTCTAGACTCAGTGACTGAGTTGATCGGGTGTCTAGACTCAGTGACTGAGGGGATCGGGTGTCTAGACTCAGTGACTAAGGGCATCGGGTGTCTAGACTCAGTGACTAAGGGGATCGGGTGTCTAGACTCAGTGACTAAGAGGATCGGGTGTCTAGACTCAGTGACTGAGGGGATCGGGTGTCTTGACTCAGTGACTGAAGGGATCGGGTCTCTTGACTCAGTGACTGAGGGGATCGGGTCTCTTGACTCATTGACTGAGGGGATCGGGTGTCTAGACTCAGTGACTGTGGGGATCGGGTGTCTTGACTCATTAAATGAGGGGATCGGGTGTCTAGACTCAGTGACAGAGAGGATCGGGTGTCTTGACTCATTGACTGAGGGGATCGGGTGTCTAGACTCAGTGACAGAGAGGATCGGGTGTCTAGACTCATTGACTGAGGGGATCGGGTGTCTAGACTCAGTGACTGAAGGGATCAGGTGTCTAGACTCAGTGACTGAGGGGATCGGGTGTCTAGACTCAGTGACTAAGAGGATCGGGTGTCTTGACTCATTAAATGAGGGGATCGGGTGTCTAGACTCAGTGACTGAAGGGATCAGGTGTCTAGACTCAGTGACTGAGGGGATCGGGTGTCTAGACTCAGTGACTAAGAGGATCGGGTGTCTAGACTCAGTGACTAAGAGGATCGGGTGTCTTGACTCATTAAATGAGGGGATCGGGTGTCTAGACTCAGTGACTGAAGGGATCAGGTGTCTAGACTCAGTGACTGAGGGGATCGGGTGTCTAGACTCAGTGACTTAGGGGATCGGGTGTCTAGACTCAGTGACTTAGGGGATCGGGTGTCTAGACTCAGTGACTGTGGGGATCGGGTGTCTAGACTCAGTGACTGTGGGGATCAGGTGTCTAGACTCAGTGACTGAGTGGATCGGGTGTCTAGACTCAGTGACTGAGTTGATCGGGTGTCTAGACTCAGTGACTGTGGGGATCGGGTGTCTAGACTCAGTGACTGTGGGGATCGGGTGTCTAGACTCAGTGACTGTGGGGATCAGGTGTCTAGACTCAGTGACTAAGAGGATCAGGTGTCTAGACTCAGTGACTGAGGGGATCGGGTGTCTAGACTCAGTGACAGAGGGGATTGGGTGTCTAGACTCAGTGACTGTGGGGATCGGGTGTCTAGACTCAGTGACTGTGGGGATCGGGTGTCTAGACTCAGTGACTTTTGGGATCGGGTGTCCCGACTCAGTGGCTGTGGGGATCGGGTGTCTAGACTCAGTGACTGTGGGGATCGGGTGTCTAGACTCAGTGACTTTTGGGATCGGGTGTCTAGACTCAGTGACTGAGGGGATCGGGTGTCTTGACTCAGTGACTGAAGGGATCGGGTCTCTTGACTCAGTGACTGAGGGGATCGGGTCTCTTGACTCAGTGACTGAGGGGATCGGGTGTCTTGACTCATTGACTGAGGGGATCGGGTGTCTAGACTCAGTGACTGAGGGGATCGGGTGTCTAGACTCAGTGACTAAGAGGATCAGGTGTCTTGACTCATTGACTGAGGGGATCGGGTGTCTAGACTCAGTGACTGTGGGGATCGGGTGTCTTGACTCATTAAATGAGGGGATCGGGTGTCTAGACTCAGTGACAGAGAGGATCGGGTGTCTTGACTCATTGACTGAGGGGATCGGGTGTCTAGACTCAGTGACAGAGAGGATCGGGTGTCTAGACTCATTGACTGAGGGGATCGGGTGTCTAGACTCAGTGACTGAAGGGATCAGGTGTCTAGACTCAGTGACTGAGGGGATCGGGTGTCTAGACTCAGTGACTAAGAGGATCGGGTGTCTTGACTCATTAAATGAGGGGATCGGGTGTCTAGACTCAGTGACTGAAGGGATCAGGTGTCTAGACTCAGTGACTGAGGGGATCGGGTGTCTAGACTCAGTGACTAAGAGGATCGGGTGTCTAGACTCAGTGACTAAGAGGATCGGGTGTCTTGACTCATTAAATGAGGGGATCGGGTGTCTAGACTCAGTGGCTGAAGGGATCAGGTGTCTAGACTCAGTGACTGAGGGGATCGGGTGTCTAGACTCAGTGACTTAGGGGATCGGGTGTCTAGACTCAGTGACTTAGGGGATCGGGTGTCTAGACTCAGTGACTGTGGGGATCGGGTGTCTAGACTCAGTGACTGTGGGGATCAGGTGTCTAGACTCAGTGACTGAGTGGATCGGGTGTCTAGACTCAGTGACTGAGTTGATCGGGTGTCTAGACTCAGTGACTGTGGGGATCGGGTGTCTAGACTCAGTGACTGTGGGGATCGGGTGTCTAGACTCAGTGACTGTGGGGATCGGGTGTCTAGACTCAGTGACTAAGAGGATCAGGTGTCTAGACTCAGTGACTGAGGGGATCGGGTGTCTAGACTCAGTGACAGAGGGGATTGGGTGTCTAGACTCAGTGACTGTGGGGATCGGGTGTCTAGACTCAGTGACTGTGGGGATCGGGTGTCTAGACTCAGTGACTTTTGGGATCGGGTGTCTCGACTCAGTGGCTGTGGGGATCGGGTGTCTAGACTCAGTGACTGAGGGGATCGGGTGTCTAGACTCAGTGACTTTTGGGATCGGGTGTCTAGACTCAGTGACTGAGGGGATCGGGTGTCTTGACTCAGTGACTGAAGGGATCGGGTCTCTTGACTCAGTGACTGAGGGGATCGGGTCTCTTGACTCAGTGACTGAGGGGATCGGGTGTCTTGACTCATTGACTGAGGGGATCGGGTGTCTAGACTCAGTGACTGAGGGGATCGGGTGTCTAGACTCAGTGACTAAGAGGATCAGGTGTCTTGACTCATTGACTGAGGGGATCGGGTGTCTAGACTCAGTGACTGTGGGGATCGGGTGTCTTGACTCATTAAATGAGGGGATCGGGTGTCTAGACTCAGTGACAGAGAGGATCGGGTGTCTTGACTCATTGACTGAGGGGATCGGGTGTCTAGACTCATTGACTGAGGGGATCGGGTGTCTAGACTCAGTGACTGAAGGGATCAGGTGTCTAGACTCAGTGACTGAGGGGATCGGGTGTCTAGACTCAGTGACTAAGAGGATCGGGTGTCTTGACTCATTAAATGAGGGGATCGGGTGTCTAGACTCAGTGACTGAAGGGATCAGGTGTCTAGACTCAGTGACTGAGGGGATCGGGTGTCTAGACTCAGTGACTAAGAGGATCGGGTGTCTAGACTCAGTGACTAAGAGGATCGGGTGTCTTGACTCATTAAATGAGGGGATCGGGTGTCTAGACTCAGTGACTGAAGGGATCTGGTGTCTAGACTCAGTGACTGAGGGGATCGGGTGTCTAGACTCAGTGACTTAGGGGATCGGGTGTCTAGACTCAGTGACTTAGGGGATCGGGTGTCTAGACTCAGTGACTGTGGGGATCGGGTGTCTAGACTCAGTGACTGTGGGGATCAGGTGTCTAGACTCAATGACTGAGTGGATCGGGTGTCTAGACTCAGTGACTGAGTTGATCGGGTGTCTAGACTCAGTAACTTAGGGGATCGGGTGTTTAGACTCAGTGACTGAGGGGATCGGGTGTCTAGACTCAGTGACTGTGGGGATTGGGTGTCTAGACTCAGTGACTGTGGGGATCGGGTTTCTAGACTCAGTGACTTTTGGGATCGGGTGTCTCGACTCAGTGACTGTGGGGATCGGGTGTCTAGACTCAGTGACTGAGGGGATCGGGTGTCTAGACTCAGTGACTGAGGGGATCGGGTGTCTAGACTCAGTGACTAAGAGGATCGGGTCTCTAGACTCAGTGACTGAGGGGATCGGGTGTCTAGACTCAGTGACTGAGGATATCGGGTGTCTAGACTCAGTGACTGAGGGGATCGGGTCTCTTGACTCAGTGACTGAGGGGATCGGGTCTCTTGACTCAGTGACTGAGGGGATCGGGTGTCTAGACTCAGTGACTGTGGGGATCGGGTGTCTCGACTCAGTGACTGTGGGGATCGGGTGTCTAGACTCAGTGACTGAGGGGATCGGGTGTCTAGACTCAGTGACTTTTGGGATCGGGTGTCTAGACTCAGTGACTAAGAGGATCGGGTGTCTAGACTCAGTGACTGAGGGGATCGGGTGTCTTGACTCAGTGACTGAAGGGATCAGGTGTCTAGACTCAGTGACTGAGTTGATCGGGTGTCTAGACTCAGTGACTGAGGGGATCGGGTGTCTAGACTCAGTGACTGAGGGGATAGGGTCTCTTGACTCAGTGACTAAGGGGATCGGGTCTCTTGACTCAGTGACTGAGGGGATCGGGTCTCTTGACTCAGTGACTGAGGGGATCGGGTGTCTAGACTCAATGACTGAGTTGATCGGGTGTCTAGACTCAGTGACTTTTGGGATCGGGTGTCTAGACTCAGTGACTTTTGGGATCGGGTGTCTTGACTCAGTGACTGAGGGGATCGGGTGTCTAGACTCAGTGACTGTGGGGATCGGGTGTCTAGACTCAGTGACTTTTGGGATCGGGTGTCTAGACTCAGTGACTGAGGGGATCGGGTGTCTAGACTCAGTGACAGAGGGGATCGGGTGTCTAGACTCAATGACTAACAGGATCGGGTGTCTGGACTGTTCAAGTGTTATAATCTAAGTTCTTGGCATGTCTGGTTGTTTTAATTTGTTTCAATTGTATTGATTAACAAAATATGTTTGTTTCCAGAACTTGAAAAATCCATCATACCAGACTATAACGGTGAGTATATTTGTGGTTCTTATGTTCATCCCTTTGCTGAGAGACCAATCATTTAACATTCCGGTGTGGGGGCTGTGAGTTTTGTTGAAGAATATTAAATTGTAAGTCCCTCAGTAATCTTCTAAACAATCAAGAATTAATTTGATGTTACTTCATTATCAAGTATGTCTATGTAAATTTTATGTCTGTTGTCAGGTATATGGTATTTTTCTAGAAGCTTTTTGATTGGAGGGTTGAGCCACACTATTTGAGTTGTAAAGCCATTCTTACTCACTCACTCACTCAAGACAACTTTGTCACGAGGCAACCAGGTTCAGGCTAACTGTCTGTTGCATGGGGCCAACCATGCCCCCTTTGAGGATGAAAGGGACCTAGGCTGTTATAGGTGTTGCAGCTGGTTCCACAGTGAAGATGCACAACACTGGAATAATCTCTCAACAATCAAATTAAGATGGAATTCTGTAACCTTGAGTAGGTGTTCACGTATTGTGAGAAGGGATGGTGGGGTATTCTGAAGAGTAAAGCATCAACTCATTAAGCTAAGACCCAGTTCACATTGGTTCTTGGTGTCCCCTTCCATGAATTGACTGGAATAATATTAAAAGCAATATAAAACCCAACTCATTCACTCCTCACTCACTCACTCACTCACTCACTCACTCACTCACTCACTCACTCCTCACTCACTCACTCACTCACTCACTCACTCACTCACTCCTCACTCCTCACTCACTCACTCACTCATTCACTCCTCACTCACTCGCTCACTCGCTCGCTCACTCACTCACTCATTCACTCCTCACTCACTCACTCACTCACTCACTCACTCACCCACTCCTCCCTCACTCACTCGCTCACTCACTCACTCATTCACTCCTCCCTCACTCACTCACTCACTCACTCACTCATTCACTCCTCCCTCACTCACTCACTCACTCACTCACTCACTCACCCACTCCTCCCTCACTCACTCGCTCACTCACTCACTCATTCACTCATTCACTCATTCACTCCTCACTCACTCGCTCACTCACTCACTCGCTCACTCACTCACTCATTCACTCCTCCCTCCCTCCCTCACTCACTCACTCACTCACTCACTCACTCACTCACTCACTCACTCACTCACTCACTCACTCACCCACTCACTCACTCATTCACTCCTCCCTCACTCACTCACTCACTCACTCACCCACTCCTCCCTCACTCACTCACTCACTCACTCACTCGCTCGCTCGCTCACTCACTCACTCACTCACTCACTCACTCATTCACTCCTCCCTCACTCACTCACTCACTCACTCACTCACTCACTCACTCACCCACTCACTCATTCACTCCTCCCTCACTCACTCACTCACTCACTCACTCATTCACTCCTCCCTCACTCACTCACTCACTCACTCACTCACTCACTCACTCGCTCACTCACTCACTCATTCACTCCTCCCTCACTCACTCACTCACTCACTCACTCACTCACCCACTCCTCCCTCACTCACTCGCTCACTCACTCACTCATTCACTCCTCACTCACTCACTCACTCACTCACTCACTCACTCACCCACTCCTCCCTCACTCACTCACTCACTCACTCTATCACTGACTCACTCACTCATACTAAGAATGGCGTTGTCTGGTTTGTGTGTATATTGGCAATACATGATTAACTACGAAACATCTCCAGGGCTTGCATTTCGGTAAACCTACCCTAACCACTGGATCCATTCCTGGGGTTCTTGCCATCTCAAATTATGAGGTGGATAATTTGAGATCACGAGAACCACAGGCTTCGCGTTGTGTAGGTTTACCAAAATTCGAGCCCTGGAGATCCAGATGATGCGGAAACATGGGTGTTACAGTTTCCACAAATCCCAGAGTGACTGCATAGACTCCGATTTGACACTGGCGCCAATGTGTGGAGGTTTGCCTGTTATTGATGGGCACTGGTCCACTGATACTGTTTGTTTTTCTGCAGTTAAGGTACACAAGGACAATGGGAAGGTAGAGATCATTATGCCAAAGTCGGTGACTGACGAGCAGTGGCAGACATTGGGGACCAATCAGAGTGACCATGGCACCCTGGTAAAGACAGCAGAGAGAGGTTTGTCATTTTATAAATAACAAGATCAATATCAACACCAGCTTCATCACTATGGGCAAAAAGATCCTGTGAACAAAACAGAACTGTGATCTGAAAATAAAACAAATCAAGGTTTGGGTAATACTTTAAAAAACCCACCAAAAACCAAAGGTTTTGGAGTACCTGACAGAATACAAGTTGGTGTTTTCATTTTGTTTGCGTGGTTTTCCCTGAACTGGAAGGACTACTGCAACACAAGACTGACACATGGATCATATTGACATTCAAACCAATAAAATCTGTATAGTGAATATTGTGATTAAATTGTTTTTGTTTGTTTGTTGTTTAAAGACACACTCAGCAAAATTCCGTCTGTATGATGACCACCTGTAAATAATCGTGTCTTGATCAGACAATCCAGTGATCTATTTTGTGAGCACTTGTCCATGCTGTAGGTATATGATGACACTCAATCAGCCAAATCAGCGAGTCTGACAACCCGATCTATTTGATGGCCTTTTACAACCAGAATGGGCTGCTGGAGACCTATTTTATGGGGGAAGTGGTCAAGATGTTGAGTAGGATCAGGTGAAATGGGTATTAGAATGTCTGGGAGTGTTTGTGTGTTTTTTTGGTGTAAAAATGTGGAGCCCTCAGGTAAGTTCTGTCACTGAAATTTTGTAAACAGCACGTTCATATTAGTACAGGGTGATAATACATTTGATGTATCTCTCTCTTTCAGAAGTGTCTTACCGCCAGTGCACGATTCAGTCTATACAAGAAGTTAGCCCTGACACGAAGCTGTTATGTGTGCAGCTACCAGAAGGGACACGGATGTGTGTGCCCCTCGGATACCATGTACATATCAAACATAATATTTCAGGTGAGTCATGTGCCCCTTGGATACCAAATACATATCAAACATAATATCTCAGGTGAGTCGTGTGTGCCCCTTGGATACCATGTACATATCAAACATAATATCTCAGGTGAGTCGTGTGTGCCCCTCGGATACCATGTACATATCAAACATAATATCTCAGGTGAGTCGTGTGTGCCCCTCGGATTCCATGTACATATCAAACATAATTTCTCAGGTGAGTCGTGTGTGCCCCCCGGATTCCATGTACATATCAAACATAATATCTCAGGTGAGTTGTGTGTGCCCCTCGGATTCCATGTACAGATCAAACATAATATCTCAGGTGAGTCGTGTGTGCCCCTCGAATACCATGTACATATCAAACATAATATCTCAGGTGAGTCGTGTGTGCCCCTCGAATACCATGTACATATCAAACATAATATCTCAGGTGAGTCGTGTGTGCCCCCCGGATTCCATGTACATATCAAACATAATATCTCAGGTGAGTTGTGTGTGCCCCTCGGATACCTTGTACATATCAAACATAATATCTCAGGTGAGTCGTGTGTGCCCCTCGGATTCCATGTACATATCAAACATAATTTCTCAGGTGAGTCGTGTGTGCCCCCCGGATTCCATGTACATATCAAACATAATATCTCAGGTGAGTCGTGTGTGCCCCTCGGATTCCATGTACAGATCAAACATAATATCTCAGGTGAGTCGTGTGTGCCCCTCGAATACCATGTACATATCAAACATAATATCTCAGGTGAGTCGTGTGTGCCCCTCGAATACCATGTACATATCAAACATAATATCTCAGGTGAGTCGTGTGTGCCCCCCGGATTCCATGTACATATCAAACATAATATCTCAGGTGAGTTGTGTGTGCCCCTCGGATACCTTGTACATATCAAACATAATATCTCAGGTGAGTTGTGTGTGCCCCTCGGATACCTTGTACATATCAAACATAATATCTCAGGTGAGTTGTGTGTGCCCCCCAGATTCCATGTACATATCAAACATAATATCTCAGATGAGTCATGTGTGCCCCTCGAATACCATGTACAGATCAAACATAATATCTCAGGTGAGTGGTGTGTGCCCCTCGGATTCCATGTACACATCAAACATAATATCTCAGGTGAGTGGTGTGTGCCCCTCGGATTCCATGTACACATCAAACATAATATCTCAGGTGAGTCACATGGCAGGCATTGGATGTGAGCCCCATGTACATGTCACATGTATTCTACACACATTACAATTTGACTTCCATGCGTCTATCTGAACCCATATACAGACCTGAAGGCAGATACACATGCAGGGTACACACAACGTCATGTGTAAGGGTACATTCTACCCACTTCTTATGCTGCCATGTTAAGGTTACTTAAGCAATTGATTTCATCCAAATCAAGAGAATTTTTAAATATTCTCTCCTTGGATACATACTCCAAACCTTCTGATGGTCAAACCGCTGTGCCCCTGGACTGAGTGGAAAGGCTTTAAGGGATGTTGTTTGTTTTGTCGTCACAGCTCCTCGTCATTTGCCTCAAAAGCCTAATGATGAGACTGTTGGTGTATTAGCTAATGTGATGCTCTTGTTTCACGCCGCACTCAGCAATATTCCAGCTATATGACGCCAGTCTGTAAATAATTGAGCCTTGACCAGACAATGATTGACATGAGCATAAATCTACACAATTGGGATACGATGCATCAACCAAGTCAGTGAGCCTGACCACCCAATCCTGTTAATCACCTCTTACGGCATGCATGGGTTGCTGAAGACCTATTGTCTACCTGGATCTTCACAGGTCATATCTACCCTTGTATGGACATCTGCACTTTGGTTTACAAGAGTCTATGTTTTATTACAGCTTTACTCGTCTCACTTTCAGGGATGGAACTAGCCCGAAGTTACACTGTAGTTTTTCCTTCTTTGAGATCCAGTGAGCAAGACATCCTTGTAGAACAAGGCCGTGTGTTGTACCTGATGATAAAGATCTATCCAGACGGTGCACTTACACCCTGGATTGGTGGTCTGTCTGTTGGTGAGTATATCTAGTGGTTCGCATCCTGTTCCCACTCTGCAGTGGAAAGTACTCCGATCCCAGCACTCAGTGCGCCCTACCCCTATCCCAGCACTCAGTGGGCAGGACCTCGATCCCAGCACTCAGTGGGCAGGACCTCGATCCCAGCACTCAGTGGGCTGTACCCCGATCCCAGCACTCAGTGCGCAGTACCCCGATCCCAGCACTCAGTGCGCAGTACCCTGATCCCAGGACTCAGTGGGCAGATATCCCGATCCCAGCACTCAGTGGGCAGTACCCCTATCCCAACACTCAGTGGGCAGGACCCCAATCCCAACACTCAGTGGGCAGGACCCTGATCCCAGCACTCAGTGCGCAGTACCCCTATCCCAGGACTCAGTGCGCAGTACCCTGATCCCAGCACTCAGTGCGCAGTACCCCGATCCCAGCACTCAGTGGGCCGTACCCTGATCCCAGCACTCAGTGGGCAGTACCCCGATCCCGGCACTCAGTGGGCCGTACCCCGATCCCAGCACTCAGTGGGCCGTACCTTTAACCCCAGCACTCAGTGGGCAGTACCCCGATCCCAGCACTCAGTGGGCCGGACACCGATCCCAGCACTCAGTGGGCAGTACCCCGATCCCAGCACTCAGTGCGCAGAACCCTGATCCCAGCACTCAGTGGGCAGTACCCAGATCCCAGCTCCCAGTGTGCAGAACCCCGATCCCAGCACTCAGTGAAAAGTACCCCGATCCAATCACTCAGTGGGCAGTACCCCGATCCCAGCACTCAGTGCACAGAACCCTGATCCCAGCACTCAGTGCGCAGTACCCCGATCCCAGCTCCCAGTGTGCAGAACCCCGATCCCAGCTCCCAGTGTGCAGAACCCCGATCCCAGCACTCAGTGGGCAGTACCCCGATCCCAGCACTCAGTGGGCGGTACCCCGATCCCAGCACTCAATGGGCAGTACCCCGATCCCAGCACTCAGTGGGCAGTACCCCGATCCCAGCACTCAGTGGGCCGTACCCCGATCCCAGCACTCAGTGGGCCGTACCCTGATCCCATCACTCAGTGGGCCGTACCTTTAACCCCAGCACTCAGTGGGCCGTACCCCGATCCCAGCACTCAGTGGGCCGTACCCCGATCCCAGCACTCAGAGGGCAGTACCCCGATCCCAGCACTCAGTGGGCCGTACCCCGATCCCAGCACTCAGTGGGCCGTACCCTGATCCCATCACTCAGTGGGCCGTACCTTTAACCCCAGCACTCAGTGGGCCGTACCCCGATCCCAGCACTCAGTGGGCCGTACCCTGATCCCATCACTCAGTGGGCCGTACCTTTAACCCCAGCACTCAGTGGGCAGTACCCTGATCCCAGCACTCAGTGGGCCGGACACCGATCCCAGCACTCAGTGGGCAGTACCCCGATCCCAGCACTCAGTGCGCAGAACCCTGATCCCAGCACTCAGTGGGCAGTACCCCGATCCCAGCTCCCAGTGTGCAGAACCCCGATCCCAGCACTCAGTGAAAAGTACCCGATCCCAGCACTCAGTGGGCCGGACACCGATCCCAGCACTCAGTGAAAAGTACCATGATCCCAGCACTCAGTGCGCAGAACCCCGATCCCAGCACTCTGTGCACAGAACCCTGATCCCAGCACTCAGTGGGCAGTACCCTGTGCCCATTTAGGGAATTTCTATTGAGCTGACGTACCATGTTCCATGCAAAATTAAATCAAACTGACTCTCTCACTTTGTCTGAAAATGTATACAGTTAACTTAGAGTACACACCTGTGTCACTAATCTGTTGGATAAGGATTGAAATGTTCTTGTCCTTACCTGTTTTCCCACTCTTATGACATTGTATTACCTGTTTTAGGGTCATCTCTAGAGGTGAGTGATATTGATGGGAATTTCCAGTCCACCCAGCTCGAGAAGAGCACTCAGCTAATCCTGATGGCAGCAGGCACGGGATTCACCCCCATGGTGAGGCTGTTGTACCAGACCCTGGTGGTGGAGCAAGACTCAAAGAGGTAGGGCAGCAGAAGGAAATAAGGGGTACTTCATGTGACGATACGATACACGATACGTTTTTCTCTGTTCTGATACAAGACGATACACTTGCTGCATATTGATGAATGTTGTGTTAAATGACAAAGAAAGTCCATTCAATGTGATTTTAGTATTTGTAATTCTGTGTACGCTGACTTTAATCTGTTGTTTCTTCAGACATGTAAAACTGATGTTCTTCAACAAGACGAAAAAGGACATTCTATGGAAGGACCAACTAGATGAACTAGTAGCCAAGAATGACAGGTGGGAACATAGTTGTGTGCTTTGTTAGCCTCTTGCATGCGGCCAGCCCCTGTGAAGATCCTGGTTAGAATTGTCTTAAGAGGCAACTAACAGAATCTGGTGGTCAGGCTCGCTGACTTTGTTGATACATGTCATCGTATCCCAGTTGCATAGATGGATGGGCATGATGTCAATCACTGGCTTGTCTGGTCTAGACTCGATTATTTACAGACCGCTGTCATATAGCTGGAATACTGCTGAGTGCGGCATTAAACAACAAACAAATAAACAAAAGACATTGATGCAGGAGGGCCATTCCCTTTGAGAAAGTAGAAACTAAATATCTGTCCTGCTTGAACACTTGGCCATATAAGTACTGTGAGTAATATGTTTGGCACGCCTTTCTGACTAACAGGTCTTGGCCATCAGTCAGATATGTTATGGCCTAAACTTGAAAGAGGGGAGGGATTTCTTCTTGCCTGAAATATCAGTATCTGTGTCTTCTTCCTCTTTATTTGATCAATACAGAATAAAAAATGAAAAAAAGTTCAACATTTGAAGCAATAGAAACTAACTGTTTTAGTCAACTGGTCCTTATAATGATAACAGGGGGCATGGGTGGCCCAGTCGTCTAAGGTGCCGCCCGCGATTCGCTGTGCAGAGTTGCGTCCCTTGGGCACGCCAGAAACCTATGATTGTGGGTTCGAATCCCGGTTCGCCCTGATTATGTTTCTAGGTTTGTCAGCACCATACCCGTGCTTGTGGGTTTCACCGAAGTGATAAACGTCTGGGACCTGCATCACTTTGGGCTTTCCTCCCACATTAAGCTGACACGCCGCGATATAACTGGAATACTGTTAAAAGCGGCGTTAAACCCAACTCACTCACTCACTCACTATAATGATAACATAGCAAAACCCTTCATAATGGCAAACTTCTACTAGTCCTTAGTCTACCTTAACTATTGGGCAGTGTGTTAAGGACTATAGGACTAGTGCCAATATCTAACGCTGCATATGACTTGTGAAAATATTGTATCAATTTGCTTGTATTTTATATTTCTGCCAACATTACTAATTTGGATGGCTACAACACACTATTGTGAGTTTGCAGTCCAGCTCAGTTAACAAACAAATGCACAGATAAGTACTAGATATATGCTATTGAAATCTATAGATTTTATTTTGTGATAGCAACGAAAATACGGAATTTATGGCTATGATGTAATGGAGTTAGGGTATTCAAAGGAGTTATATCACATCTGAGCCTGCCCATACACCCCCAGTCCCCAACCCAGCAACAACAACCAAACCTGTATATGAGTAGCCATGGGTATTTTAGTCCAAGATTGTGGGTAACTTTTGTATTCCAGCAGGTTGTCTGTGACGTATGTCCTGTCTGAGCCCGACTCGGAGTGGGAGGGACCCAAGGGGAGGGTGCGGGAGGAACTCATGAAGGAGGAGATGCCCACAATGGACGACGGAACCAATCTGCTGGTGTGTGCGTGTGGACCCACACCATTTACTAAAGAAGTGGTCAGGTATGTTGTGATTGACGAAACACGTGATAAAAATTTGCAAGACATATTTGTAGAATTGGCATGAGATTCTTGTAGAATTGGCTCAGGATTCTTGCAGAACTGACATGGGGTTCTTGTAGACCTGACATGGGATTTGTGTTATAACTAACATGAGATTCTTGTAGAATTGGCTCAGGATTCTTACAGAACTGACATGGGATTCTTGTAGACCTGACATGGGATTTGTGTTATAACTAACATGAGATTCTTGTAGAATTGGCTCAGGATTCTTGCAGAACTGACATGGGATTCTTGTAGACCTGACATGGGATTTGTGTTATAACTAACATGAGATTCTTGTAGAATTGGCTCAGGATTCTTGCAGAACTGACATGGGATTCTTGTAGACCTGACATGGGATTTGTGTTATAACTAACATGAGATTCTTGTAGAATTGGCTCAGGATTCTTGCAGAACTGACATGGGATTCTTGTAGACCTGACATGGGATTTGTGTTATAACTAACATGAGATTCTTGTAGAATTGGCTCAGGATTCTTGCAGAACTGACATGGGATTCTTGTAGACCTGACATGGGATTTGTGTTATAACTAACATGAGATTCTTGTAGAATTGGCTCAGGATTCTTGCAGAACTGAAATGGGATTCTTGTAGACCTGACATGGGATTTGTGTTATAACTAACATGAGATTCTTGTAGAATTGGCTCAGGATTCTTGCAGAACTGACATGGGATTCTTGTAGACCTGACATGGGATTTGTGTTATAACTAACATGAGATTCTTGTAGAATTGGCTCAGGATTCTTGTAGAACTGACATGGGGTTCTCAGGGAACTGACATGAGATTCTTGTAGAAATGGGATGGGATTTTTATAGAACTGACATGAGATGCATCAATCTTTTCCTCAGTAGTGTGCTAAAATGTGATACCAGTGTCCTCTCTTTACAGGTTAGCCAAGACTATGGGATGCAAAGATGAACAGCTTCATGCTTTTCTAGGCTGAGCTACCTCTCTGTCATGTCACTAGTACATACTGCTAAAGATGTCCTGAAAATGATCCTCAGATTTTCCTGTGTGGCTTCAAATAAATGTAGGACTCACAGAGTCGTCTTAATAAAAAGAATGAACTTTCGCTGTAACAGATCCTTTGTAATCCCAATGAAATTAAGGATGTTTGGAATCCCTGTCTAAGGCCCAAGCAAGTCACTGGCCAGAGATATCTGCTAGATACCAGTAGACGGTTGTCTGGACGTATTTTCAGAAACTCCATCTCCTTGAAAGATCATGATATTCATCAACATTTGTGGCTTAAACCTATCCACAACCTTGTTGTCTCTTGAGGAAGCTGATTCCATAGAAGAAATTAATCCTAACCAGATACCTGTGAAAAACACTTGTTATTTCATTTCTCCAAATCCAGAACTTCATTGAGATGCCTGAACAGGCATCAGTACCTCTATAAAGAAGGATATTGCCAACAAACTTTCTGCATGATGTCATACAGAGACTCTCAATGTGTCCCCTGACAGACTCCACATCCTCTGATGTACAACCAAAAGAGTGAAAGAAGAATTTCAATTGGCATCTCCAACGAACTTTTGTACATTGTCCTAGATGACCTCTGTTAGTGTCATCAGAAAATCCTGAAGCGTTTCCAGACCCTTTTTCTTCTTGCATTTTCCGCTTTGTTCCCATAACTTTGTTGTAAAAAACATCTTCTCTGGAATGCTGTTTCCCGAAGTCTAGAAGGGTTTCAGAAAAATGGTAACAGTCAAATGGTGGTACCGTTTACTCATGCTGGTTTGATCTTTGAGGATACGACAACCACATACAACCTTTCAACATGTGTCGAACAACTTTCTTATTAATATGTGACAGTTTGGTATAGCTGTTGTATATCATTTTGAATATTTATCAACATTTTCATATTTTGTACTATTTGTACCAATACAAGGGTACATGATGTACCTTGCCCCTGCTAGATGTCTGACTTTGTCCTACTCTACTGTGATAACTGCACTATGATGTCATCCTGTTGTTTTCTTGTACCAACTCTGGCACACTTGTTTGCTGTAGGCCCAAACTCGTTAGCCTGTTTTTCCAAGAAAGAATGACCTTGTCAGATGTTTTTGTCCCTTTTGGGAAATGTGTCTGACCTTGGCACCGCCATCTGCTTGGGATCTGCTGACCCTAAGCTGAACTCACATATGTATCCCGGTAGAGTAACACCTCACCATTCCCAGTAAAGAGAGCATTGTGAAAACAGGTGCCCCGAAGAATGACCTATTAAAGAGCAAAAGAACCCAAAGATTGACCTATTTTAGAGCCAAAAATCCCAAAGTATGACCTGTTTCAGAGCCAAAAAACCCTCTAGTTATTAATGAACCCACAGAAGCTGCAGTTTCAGACACTGTGCCTACCATTTGCTGGGCTGGTTTCTTTATCATGCAATTAGAACTGATTCTGAATTTACAGTTCAAATTCTAGGTAATACCTCTCCATCGCTTGATGAAGTCACTATTTCATGTGTGTCTTTCTTTTTCTCGAGAACAGTTGCCCCTGTTATAGGACCTTTCATAGTCCTCTAAATTATTACTTTGTTGACATCAGAACCACCCTCATCATTTTTCTCAGAAGGTGGTACTTTACCTCATCAGTTAAGTTCAGAGTGACATCACCCGATATCTGGCAAACTGTTTTTTAACCCCTTGACTAATTTTAAAGACAGGTGCAAAACCTCATTATCGTGGTTCTTATTGGGAATGGTTGCACTCTGATTATAATTACCCACCTTCTGCTTTATTTTTTATAAGGGAAACAGAGTTAGCTCCCTTCTCAAACCACCACTAATGCTGTTTTGCCAAGACCAGTGCGGATGTGACATTACACAGAGCTCCAATCACTGTTCCCCCTGCATCAAGTACTGTGAAACCTGGTTAGCTTCAACTTTATTAATTATCCTTTAGACGATATACGGTGAACACCTGTTGGTCCAGATGCTACTGATCCCAGTAAAATCGTCCAGATTAACACTGTTCCAGGTAAATTAACCTTGGGTATATTGTGATGTTCCGTTAATTGTATACACACGTTGCCAATGGTAATTGTGTGGATTACAGGGTGTCTGGACTGGTCGGGTCACAGCAGAATCCTGGTATAAGTCTTATATGGACTCAATGCAGGTTCCTGGTCCCAGCAGAATCCTGGTATAAAGTCTTATATGGATTCACTGCAGGTTCCTGGTCCCAGCAGAATCCTGGTATAAAGTCTTATATGGACTCACTGCAGATTCCTGGTCCCAGCAGAATCCTGGTATAAAGTCTTATATGGACTCACTGCAGATTCCTGGTCCCAGCAGAATCCTGGTATAAGTCTTATATGGACTCAATGCAGGTTCCTGGTCCCAGCAGAATCCTGGTATAAAGTCTTATATGGATTCACTGCAGGTTCCTGGTCCCAGCAGAATCCTGGTATAAAGTCTTATATGGACTCACTGCAGATTCCTGGTCCCAGCAGAATCCTGGTATAAAGTCTTATATGGACTCACTGCAGATTCCTGGTCCCAGCAGAATCCTGGTATAAGTCTTATATGGACTCAATGCAGGTTCCTGGTCCCAGCAGAATCCTGGTATAAAGTCTTATATGGATTCACTGCAGGTTCCTGGTCCCAGCAGAATCCTGGTATAAAGTCTTATATGGACTCACTGCAGATTCCTGGTCCCAGCAGAATCCTGGTATAAAGTCTTATATGGACTCACTGCAGGTTCCTGGTCCCAGCAGAATCCTGGTATAAAGTCTTATATGGACTCACTGCAGGTTCCTGGTCTCAGCAGAATCCTGGTATAAAGTCTTATATGGACTCACTGCAGGTTCCTGGTCTCAGCAGAATCCTGGTATAAAGTCGTATATGGACTCATTGCAGGTTCCTGGTCCCAGCAGAATCCTGGTATAAAGTCTTATATGGACTCACTGCAGGTTCCTGGTCTCAGCAGAATCCTGGTATAAAGTCTTATATGGACTCACTGCAGGCTTCCAACCATAGGATAACATGACATACATAGTTTATGTCCTTAAGGTGTTTATGTTGTGAAGGTTAATCTTTATTAACATCAAATGTTGATTTTTCAGCAGACCAATATTACCATAAGTTTAATTGCAGTTATTGTCATTAAGTCGTTATTAAAAAGTTGTTAGAAACTGCTTCCTAAATTACAGTTACAGTAAAATACTCACTTTGAACCTTTATAAAAATCTTCCAAGTTCTGTTCCAAAATGCAAACTTTATGCAAGGGAAGTAACTCTTTCAGTAATAGCACTCTCAGAATGCCCGCCATGTCAAGACACGGAATAAGTGACCTCCCTTTGACATATCTCCAGCTTGTCACAATGAGAATGTCCGTCCTTCACATTTCCATTCAAGATCTCATAAACCATTATTGCTATTTTCATGAAATGTTTTGTACAAGGCATTTTCTCATGGAACACCGATGAATAACCCTTTTAGCATGCTTGTGGTCCTTTCTGAAGCACAACTAAAAAAACATCCAAGTTTTTTCATGACACTTGCACAGCAGTGTGTGAAATAGCTGTCTGCCCACTAGCTTGTGGCTAGCCAAATTTCAGTAGGGCTAAAGATTCTGAAAAGTCCTTAGCTCGATTGGGTGCTGAACTTTAACCATAAATTTTTTATACACACCTCTCTCATTTTTGTAGATAAATACAAACATAAAAAATCAAATATCATAAATTAAATTAATATCCATTACAAATCGACACTGTGATTTTGGAAGTTGTTTGATAGGCATTTCTTAGAAGTTGACTGTTGACAAAGTACACAAAACAGCTATAGATAACAACTTCTTTATTATAGTGTAATAGCCATGTTTCGGTATAGATCCTTATACTGTTGTCAAGCAAGTCTTGCTTGACAATGGTATAAGGATATAATCATTGATGTTGCTATTACAGCATGATAAAGAAGTTGTTATGCATAAATGTTTTGTCTACTTTGTTGTTGCAAGGTTACAAGCTCAGAGTTTCCCCCTTCATAATACTTGAGTCGTGATTTGCAGTTTTAGGGACCGGTCATTTATTATAGCGGGGTAGGGGTGGGGTGTCATAAAAAATAATACACATTTGGAAGGGTCATAAAAAACAACATTAATAATAAAATATAAAGCTTAGTATTTTGTCTTTTCAGGGAGGCTGATGAAATATATTGTACAAATACATGGGGAGGGTCATCCAAAACTTTGACAGGCTTTAGGGGATATCAAGTATCTGGGAGTCCATACCCAAACTATGATGGGATTTTCATTGTTTTAATATAAAACATGATGTACATGTTTCAAGGTCTGATATTGCATTTGTTTTTATGATTCAAGCAGACATACTTTATATGTTTTAAGTTCTAATATTGCATTTGTTTTTATGATTCAAGCAGACATACTTTGTATGTTTCAAGTTCTAATATTGCATTTGTTTTTATGATTCAAACAGACATATTTTATTTTATCACTTGGGTCTGCCAGTGCACATTATTTACATCCGTTTGCAGTGTTTATGCATATAGAACACCATAGTTTGTGTTTGGTAGTACCCTATTGCACTGTGAAAGAAGACACTTTGCTTTTACCAGTCCGTTTAGCTTGTGAGGAGCTTGCCAAGGAGTATTAAATTGATATACAATGTAATTGATATCAAAAAGATTTTATTTATCCTCCAAGATTATTCTCCCTTGTAAGAAGTTGTCTTGAGTTTAAAAGTACAGCTAACCATCTTCTGTGGCAGAGAGATAAGTGACAGCATTCGGGGTCATTCCACTGGTGAGTTTAACAGTCAGTTGAGTTAACTGTAAAGGGAGGTTACTCCCGTGCTTCAAGTGTAACATATTCATGTTACATATGTTAGGCTGGGCAAATGTTGTGATTCTTATAATACATACTGTTATTCTTCCTAGCAAGTCCTGACATTTCATTACCCTGCTGTCTGAAATATATCCTTTCTCATACATTATTATTTAGAATTATGATACCATGTTAAAAATATTTCTGTGACGTTCCCTCGAAATCATTATTTTAGGAACCTAATAATGAATACAGTTTCAGACTTTGTTTGTTGTTATGTTACATTGATCTAGTTTTATTGATCAAAGATGTATGTTTGATATGTGGATGTTAGTTAAGAAACAGAATTCATTTTGATGTATTTGAAGACAGTTATTGTCCAGTTCCTCATACCAGCTTACAATACATCATGGCACAGTTGTGCTGGTCAGAAAACACATGTACAAAACACAGCGTGTTTCACTCCAAAGAATGAACACAAAATGCCATTTAGAAAGTGGTCAAAGGCAACAAATGTTATATTTTGGATAACACTTTCTGAGTAAAGTACAGTTCCTCATACTTTTTTGGGTTGAGTCCCATCCTTGATTCGAACCTACACTGCCAGAGTGAGGCACCTAATCGCCAGCATTCAAAGTCAGCGATCTAACCCACTCAGCCACCGAGGCTTCCACAAAAATGAAAGTCTTATAACTGACAACTGGTAGTTTAGATCATGTACTTTGTGTACCCCTCTTTTTTTGTACGGGACTCAACCCAAAAGAGCACGAGAATCTCTCAGAAAGTGTTATCCCAAATGTAACATTTGAAACTCCATAGAAGTCAAAGAACACACGATTTGTTCATGTGACTAAAGTTAATCTGTCATGGTGGGTATTGTAACAACCAGACTTCCAATTGTTGATGTTCTTATTTTTTAGAGGTATATATATTTTCAAACTTTTGCAAAGATTAGGGCAAACACGAGAAAATTGTTTACCAATAGATGAAGAGAACAACAACAAAAAAAGATGTCGGTCCTTGGTTGTGTATGGATCAGCTGGTCCTTGGTTCAGATCCCAGATGGTTTGTCTGGGTCATACCCGACCTGCGTTTCTTGGGGCTCACGTTCCAAGTGTAGCTGCCACACACTGATATCACTGAAATATTTACTGTCAAACTATCACTCCTAAATGCCAAACTGCCTCCATGGTCCAGTGGATGGAGTGTCTGTCCTGAGATGGGAAGGTCTGGGTTCAATTCCCAGCCGCATCATACCAAACGAAGTTAAAAGATGGTACTTGTTGTTACCCTGCCTGGTGCTCAGCATTTAGGGACTAAAACAAGGACTGGTCAGCTCGGAGTCAGCACACTTTGTCTGAATGGGGATCTATGGTAAACTACAGCATGGGGTCTCAGTGGGCTAGCACTATAAATCTTGCATTAGTCCTGGCTAGTAAGTACAAGCAGCCACACACACAAACAAGCATGCATGTCGATAGATGAGTGCAACACTCTTGAACGGGCATTGGACCGCATTGCACCTCACCTAGTTGCCAAACCGATGCCATCTCTACTGAGTTCAATTGAGCGGAATTCTTTTCAACATACAATATGGATTCAGGTTAAGAAACTGGGCCCTGTTGCACAAAGCTTTTTTAGCGCTAAGGTGATCAGAACTCCCATACTTTAACATAGGCTTATGGCAGTCGTTGCGCTAAGATCACTTTGTGCAACGGGACCTTGGTCTATTGTTCAAGCATTAATCTAACATCAAAACACTCAATCATTACTTTCATCTCCTCCAGAAGTGTTTGATTCAAGCAGTGAAAATATTTCCAGATTGACTAACATGCTGCAGTGAGAGTTTAGAATCCCCCTACTTGATGTATTTATCCTTTATGCTGTAAAGGGGCCTGTATCTGTATATGACTGGCTCCACTCTGTATATTGTCCCTGTAGATAATGCCTGTGATAGTTTCTGTGAACCATGTACATACAATAACCATTATGTCTGTATAGTTCGGTCTCTCATGTCCTCAGCTCAAATATATGTCTCCTCCCATCAAGTCATTGTTAATGTTTAACCTAAATACAAAGATATATTTTTTGCTCTATTAATATGATATTAGTAGGTGTTTTATCAAATTTATTGACAAAGGGGAGACAACTCCATGCAGAGTTTCTCTATGAAGCATGTTTAGTCGAGTTGTTTCTTCATCCTGTTGCAGCGTCTTTGATGAAATGTTTGATGGAAATATGGTGGAGGTATTATGCATATCACTATTGTTTTTACCGTTTAGCAAGAAATACAAGAAATAATTTGCATGCAGTTTGTAATGTGTCACTTTCAGTCAGTGTTTTTGACTTTATTAGATTTGTACAAGTACATGTGCAAACTCAGGTGGCGTATGTTTGTCAGCAAACTATTACTATCCTATGGCATTCATGCTATTTCTTGAAGGAAAATTAAGGGCATTTTAGGCCTAATCAGAGCTCATGGTACAGTGCTTAATAACCTACTGATACAGTCTGTACATATATTTACGTGTTGTTTACAAGAATTCCATTAAGGTGACTTACCTGACTGCTACAATTTCTACACTTTAATAAAACACAAATCCCTCAATCAATCCCATACATTTTAATACCCAGTCCACAAGATCCTACTCCGGCACCATCTTGTCCCAGAAGGGATTCCGGGTTATTCTGGGATATTGCTGAGTGCGTAGTTAGACAACGGTCATACTGTCCCCAGTCCCCCATTGGTTTGGGGGTTCAGCCGATGGGTGTGGCTGATTGCCCTGAATCGTTGCTCATGCTTTCAGTCACTAGTTTGTCAGGGCAGACTTCACTGACTACAGGCTGTCATCATGTAGCTGGAGTGTTGGAGACAGCAGGGGGCACTGGTGGCCATGTCGTCGAACATGCTGCAACTTGCTGTGCAGAGACGTGTTCCTTGGGCACCCCAGACATCTATGAGGGTGTTCGACTTCCGGTTCACCTAATTATGTTTCCAGGTTTGTCAGCACCATACCCATTCTCATGGGTTTCACCGAAGTGGTAAACGTCTGAGACCTGCATCACTTCGGGCTACTCCCACATCAAACTGACACGCCATGATGTAACTGGAATGCTGTTCAAAGTGGCGTTAAATCCAAATCACTCACTCACTCACTCGCTGGCAGCAGAGCTAGACACCTCTCACTAATCCATTAAAACAGAAATAGTGCAGTAAGATAGCTGACTTGTTGACAAATGTTCGTCATCTGAGTGTCATTTGCCAGTGGCATGTCATGGGTTGTGTGATCTGAGGGTTGTTCAGTAGCAGGGTAATTCAATTTGTCAGAATCAGGGTAATTTCACATTTTAGTTTTATTGGTGAAAACAAAATGTGAATTGTGAGGCCAAACAACGGATGTTATTGTTTTTCGTAATACCAATTAGGCTGCCAAACTGATTGTAGTTAAGACTGAGACTGTCACTGAGTACCGGATCTGTGTGTGCAGTGCTGTGTCACATCTTAGGAACTGGTCATTAATTATTATATGGGGGGAGGGGTTGGACATTATGGGTGGGGTCATGAAACTAATCGGGCAGGGGTGGGGGTGGGGTGGGGTGGGGTGGGGTGGGTGAGTAAGTAAGAGAGCATATGATTTTATGGATAACATTCTAGCGTGGTAAATGTCTGAGGCATCACTTCATGCTTTCTTCCCACATTAAGAATAGGACTGCAATAATGTTCAAGGCGGCTTTAACCCAACCAAAGCCGTATCTACACGTCTT